TCTGCTCCTGTCTCCTCCTCCATCCTGTGTGTGTGGCTCTGTGTGTGTGTGTGTGTCATTCTTTGAGTTCCACTGCAGTGCGCATGTTTCGTAGATACAGACAGGAGAGGCAGAATAGAGGCTCATGCGTGAATGTCCAAGGAATAACTCCGATTGTTGTTTCAAAAATAGAAAACCTGCTTTCATTACTTAGTTATGCCCTGGATTTTGTAGCGTTTGTGGATGCTACGTCACTACTTGATAAAAATAATAATGTCACTACTGGAAAGTTACTTGATAAATAAAGCAGCGACGCTACGGTCAAGCTACTGGAACATGTAGTTAAACTAATAGCTTCGCTACATGTAGCGGCACTACTGCCCATCACTGATAACCAATATGCAGCTATGGACATTTTTACTGTAATGGATATTTGAAAATAGCAGCAACATCAGTGATGTGCAAAATGATAGCAGCATGTTATTTAACTGACTGAGGTTTCTATCATTACATTTGATTTTATTTGTACCTGCTCCCGGTGGTTGAAAGCTTTATTCCACTCTGGATTCTTGTTAATGTAGTCTTTGTTCACTTTATAATAAAAAATAAATAAATAAACAAACAGTTTTGAAAACTTCGGTTTTCATTCTTTTCCTGCTTTGTGTGTCAACTTTCACGGTTGCTAAGCAACAGACCTTACGACGGTAAAACCTGCTGAAGGGTAGACCTGGTCGAATTCACAGCCAAAACTATTCCGGTCTCCTTATTTTCACTGACTTCGAAGGATCCAGTCTAGGTAGACTGGGTCCTTGGAGGATGCAGCCCAGGTTTTCAAACAGAGACGGTTTTCCAATATTCACCACTGTTCGGCGCCAAGTAACATTTCCTCTAATCACGGAGCAGCCGGCTTGCATGGTCTCCGAACGAATCCTGGGTAAACCAAGGATATAGAGGATTTCCAGGCTTGTTTTCCCCTGATGTCTCCATGGTTTTGGTTTGTTTAACATTTTAAGTTGGATTTCTGCCTTTGTTACCTATGGTCTGTAATTAAATCTCTCAGAACTCATCTCTGCTTCACTCGTCTCTGCATCATGGTTCTCAAGCAACCTCACCACCCACTCCTGACACTCTCAATAATATTAATGCCAACATCCTGCTGCTCCAATAAAGGCCTGCTGACTTCAGCTGTTTATCTCTGTCAGCTCCACCAGCAGCTCCATCAATACAAACTCAGCTTCTGCTGCCAAATTCTTCAAGTTTCACAGAAAAAAAACAAACAAGTTGTGGAGAACTTTGGAGGAAAGATGAACAAATAAAAGATGAATGCAGATTAATTAAACTAGATGATCGATTATTCCACAGTAGGGCTGCACAGTACTGGAAAAACTGACATTAGAATATAACATAAAGTATGAAATGAAAAAAAGTGAAGCTACGATCGTGCTGAAGATGAACCTGCACTGATAGTACCTCTTTTCATCTTCCATGTTTTGGTCTGTATTTCAGAGTTCTTTTTCTTTTCTATTGCTTTTATTGGAGCTCAGTAGCGGCCCATGCCTAGGTGGATCTCTTCACACAGTGTGTGTCGGCTACCCTTTGTTCAGCCCTAGGCCTTGTGAGCTGGGTTGTGTGTTGGTGTTTCTGACTTTTTGCTCCTCCTCTTTGCAGGTTATGGTGATGGGGATCTTGAACAGAGGATAGAAATCCCTGCCTCTTTCTGATGATCATCACTTTCATTATCATCATCATCATCATCATTTACTGACTTCTATTGATATGCAGTAATTTTAACCCTTTCTATGCCCTGACCCTGACATTAACCCTATAGCTAACTGTTAGCCAAACAGCTCAACAGGAGCAGAAAAATGTCCTCACTTTACAACAAGCAGTCCTTATTTTGATGGTGAAATCAGAAAAATTGTGGTCACTCTGATGATCACACAGACACATCCAATCATTTGCTCTACCCCACTGATACAGACACTTCCATCCATTGTAGTTTTTGTTAACCTGTGTTTGACCCTAAATCAATGTTTCTCTCTGCACCTTGTGGCATGGTCTCCAGTTTTTAGGACCCTGAGCCATAACACCCTGAAATATATGACAGGAAGTTCAGTTTATTTCCATCCTCCATGACTCTGCCAACTTCAGCTTTGCTTTCTATGTGAGGATATGAACTGAAGGCTCCAAGTCCAAAGACCAACTCAGGAAAAGATTTATTAGAATAGAAGATATCAACTTTGTTTTCCAGCTGATTCTATCAAATTCTTCACAGAAATATAAACTGAACTATTTTAAAGACATCCTGTAGAATAACTAACCTGATGAAGGTTAGAAAGGGATCTAGAACCTTCTACCAGTGCTGAC